TCGCTCAATTTACTATTGAGAGGTTATATGGCAGTGGCACTCTTGCCTGATTGGATGCCCTTCCTGATCAACCGCGGTTGTTTCACGGCGGTGAATTCCCCTACGACACCTGCGTTTGACTTCTCAAGGCGATATGTCATTTTCTCGAGCTCGAGCAAGCAGTCAGAGCGCAGGCATTTTTACGACCGCCGCGACGGGGAAGTGAACTCGGGACCACGAGGATCGGAGGCCAGTGCTCTAACCACTGAGCTATCGCGGCAGTATACATATACATATATATATATATATATATATATATATATATATATATATATATATATATATATATATATATATATATATATATATATATATATATATATATAGTATACATATACATACATATATATATATATATATATATATATATATATATATATATATATATATATATATATATATATATATATATATATATACATACACACACATACATATGTGTATGTATTTATATGTATATATACATATGTACATATATGTATATATTAGATGTATACGTATATATTCCCCGTCGCGGCAGTCGTAAAAATGCCTGCGCTCTGACTGCTACCTCGAGCCCGAGAAAACGACATATCGGCTTGAGAAGTCAAACGCAGGTGTCGTAGGGGAAGTCACCGCCGTGGCACAAGTGTTAACGCGCCGAACCGCGGTTAATTAGGAAGGGCATTCAATCAGGCAAGGGTGACACTGCCATATAACCTCTCAATACTGAATTGAGAGAGGCCTATGTCCTGCAATGGAATGAATGGCTGTTAAAAAAAATGAATATATATATACATATATATATATATATATATATATATATATATATATATATATATATATATATGTGTGTGTGTGTATATATATATATGTGTGTGTGTGTGTGTGTGTGTATGTGTGTGTGTGTGTGTGTGTGTGTGTGTGTGTGTGTGTGTGTGTGTGTGTGTGTGTGTGTGTGTGTGTGTGTATGCATATATATACATATAAATAATATATATATATGTATACATAATGTATGTATATATGATATATGTATATATATATGTATATATATATATGTATATATATACTATATATATATTATGTATACATTATATTATATATTTGATATATAATATATAATATATGATATATATGTATATATATGCACACACACACACACACACACACACACACACACACACACACACATACACATACGCACACACACACACACACACACACACACACACACACACACACACACACACACACACACACACACACACACACACACACACATATGTATATATATATATATATATATATATATATATATATATATATATATATATATATATGTATATGTATGTGTATATATGCATATATATTATATATATGTATTTATGTGTATATATATATATATATATATATATATATATATATATATATATATATATATATATATATGTGTGTGTGTGTGTGTGTGTGTGTGTGTGTGTGTGTGTGTGTGTGTGTGTGTGTGTGTGTGTGTGTGTGTGTGTGTGTGTGTATAAATTTGTGTGTATATATATGTATGTATATATATATATATATATATATATATATATATATATATATATATATATATATATATATATATATATACATATATACACACAAAGACATGTTTGTATTTACACACACACACATGTATTTATCTGTGTGTGTGTGTGTATGTGTGTGTTCTTACCTAGTTGTTCTTACCTAGTTTTTTCAATACGGGAGAAGAGCTAAACTCAGATGGTCCAGTCTGCTATTTTTAAATTATTATATAACTTTTTAAATTGATGCAAATTTTTTGTCACGCACAACGTTATTTGGAAGATTGTTCCATGTTTCAATAGTTCTGTTTGGGAACTGAACTTCTTGACATATTTCTCGCCTCTTTTTACTTTCAACTTTTTGCTGTGTCCTCTCGTCCTTCTTGTGTTCAAAATTATAGTCATCTTTGTCTAACTTCACCCTTCCTGTAATATAGTTGAACATCATTATCATGTCATCTCTTTTTCTTTTTTCTTCCAAAGTAGTAAGACGTATTTTCCGTAGTCTTTCTTCGTAGCTCATATCTCTTAGAGTAGGTGCCCATTTGTGGCTACTCTTTGAACTCTTTCTAGTTTATCTATATACTTTTTAAGTATGGATTCCATACCACTGCATCATACACAAGACTAGGTCTTATAGTGGCTGTAATGACGTTCGCCCACATACAAGAATGCCCTCTTCATGTAGGCAATCAGCCCTAGGAGTTTATGTCATTTATATGATCATATGGGCTTAGGTTCCTACTTATGATTATTCCAAGGTCTTTTTCTTTATCTGCTTGGTTTAATATTCCGTCTCCTAACTTATGTTGGTATACTGGACGATTTTTACTTTCTCCGAACCTGACTACATGGCATTTATAGGTGTTAAATTCTATTTTCTATGTACAACTCCAAATGGATAAGTCCTCGATGTCATTTTTTAGGCATTGGCATGAGATATCGTCTATTACCCTTTTTTGCAATTTTGCGTCGTCTACAAACAAATTCAGATAACTACTCGGGCTTATGTTTTACCCTAAAACTTTAATGAAAATAGTCGGTGCCTAGACCAATCCTTGAGGTACTCCGTAAGTTACTCGTCGCCATGTAGAGTGCTTCTTTCTATCTACGGTTCTCATCTGTCTTTCATTAAGAAAGTCTTCCAACCATTCGAGGAGTTTACATTTCACTCCGCCTAGGTGTTCTAATTGCCATAACAGTCTTTTATGATACACCTTATAAAAAAATAGAATATTGCATATCAAGGTATCAAGGAGGGTTTCCCAGTTTATGCCATCAAAGAAATCTTTAAGGCTTCTATAATTACCTCTCTTGTAACTGTACTTTCCGTTTCGTTCCTTTTTTCCTTTAGCAGACAGTATTTCAAATGAATTACTACATGATCACTTTTTCCTAAAGGAGGGAGCTCTCAATTTCCTTAATGTCATCTTTATGCTTTCTAAATATTAGGTCAAGTATAGACGGTCTATCTAGCCCTCTTATTCTGGTATGATATGTTACATTCTGGAAGAGACAGAATTCATATATAACTCCTAGTAATTTTGCATTCCACGAATCTGGCTGAGCTAATTTTGCAATGAAAATCCCGTTACAAGAATTTATTTTGCATTAGTTTCCGAAACTACTTATTCCAGGCTCTTTAACGTTTCTTGAACAAGTTTTCTGGTAATCTTCTCGTGACCACACCGATGTATTAAGTGGCATGTACACTGCGGTTATTAATATATTTACTCCGTTTGTTTCTACCTCAATTTGCTAAAGTTCTACTATGGGATCATGTTGGATCTGTATCTCCTTTATAATAATTCCTTTCCTTGTTAATATTGCTACCCCCCCCCCCCTCCATTTCCATCTGCCCTATCTTTTCTCCAAAAATTGTAGTCTGAGTCCTGATGTTACATCGTCTAAGCAGTTTGGATTCAGTTTGGATTTAGTGATGCATTTTACATCTGGTTTATTACTTCCAATAACTGCATCTAGTTCAGTAACGTCGAACATAAACCATCTATATTTGTGTAAACCATTTCTTCATAATCTTTCGGTATTCATTTTTGCGGCAAAGCTAATGTTTGTCTGTCTCCACATTTTGTTTCCGATAGTAAATTTGTTTTTGCTTGGAGGTTTCTCACCCTCCAAATGAACAAGTTTGTTTCTTCTTCAGTCCTTTGTTCATTTTTGTTTTGTACCTCTTCCATTTTTTTCCATTTGTCATCTTTGGTCATATTTTCTCCAGATTTTTCTTATATTCTTCGTGTGTGGCCAGAACTTTAGCTTTCTGTATTGCATCAGTTACCATCTGCTTATTCATGAATGTCACCTTTAAAGGGCGTTTCTTTCCCTTTCCGAATAATCCCAACCTCCTGTGCGCTATGATATTCTGTTCCGAGAATTCGGGATTTATGACCTTGAAAATATTGACAATCAATTTCGTATGTGTGTGTGTGTGTGTGTGTGTGTGTGTGTGTGTGTGTGTGTGTGTGTGTGTGTGTGTGTGTGTGTGCGTGTGTGTGTGTGTGTGTGTGTGTGTGTGCACGCGTGCGCGTGCGCGTGTGTGTGCGTGTGCGTGTGCGTATGCGTGTGCGTGTGCGCGTGCGAGTGCGAGTGCAGGTGTGAGTGTGTGTGTGTATGTGTTCGCGCAAGTGTTTAGGTGCCTAAAGCATTAATCTAGAATTCTAGGGAAAAAATAAATCAACTGAATACAAATTTATATAGATAATATTTAGTAATTTCAGTACTCATAACATTTGAATTTTGTAAGATACGGCCTGAGGACTGATATTGCATCAGTCTGAAGAAAATTACTATGTGTGAGTGTGTGTGTGTGTGTGTGTGTGTGTGTGTGTGTGTGTGTGTGTGTGTGTGTGTGTGTGTGTGTGTGTGTGTGTGTATGTGTGTGTGTGTGTGTGTGTGTGCGTGCGTGCGTGTGTGCGTGCGTGCGTGTGTGTGTGCGTGCGTGCGTGCGTGCGTGCGTGCGTGCGTTTGCGTGTGAGTGTGTGTGTGTGTGTGTGTGTGTGTGTGTGTGTGTGTGTGTGTGTGTGTGTGTGTGTGTGTGTGTGTGTGTGTGTGTGTGTGTGTGTGTGTGTTTGTGCATACTCACGCATGTGTTTAGGTACCTAAAGCATTAAACTTAAATGTAGAACACTAGAAAAAATTAAATCAAGTGAATACAAATTTATATCGATAATATTTAGTAATTTCAGTACTCATAACATTGAATTTTGTAAGATACGGCCTGAGGACATAGATATTGCATCAGTCTGAAGCGAATTACAAAGTCTACTCATTGGTGTTGCATCATTCGCGAGATCTCTCTTGGATCCCTCAGTAAAGGATCGAACACCACAACGCGATGTTTTTCTGGCGGCAGCATCCGCGCTCCTGTTGGTGCGAGTCCTGGGTGAGTATTTGGGTACTTCTCTTATAGTTAAAAAAAAGAAGGTGATTCCAAGACTCCCAACAAGACTCAGAGTCCCAGTTACGACCCGATAGGAGGCCTGATGGTTGGTGACAGTTATAATTGGTTGTGGAATAACCCTGTCACGCGTGAGGTCGCCCGCTGCCCGAAGGTCGTCGGCGATTTGCTGCGCGCGGGATACTCCAAGGTAATTCCAGGCTCGGGTTACCGTCCCTGTCATGACCATTGTTTCCGGTTATCGGTTAGGATTTTATAATTAGAAGGAGTTAGTGTTTTTTTTTTATTATGACAGTATAAAGGTCAACAGCTTTTCCGTCGCGCCCGAGTTGTTAATTTTGAACATTCTAATTACAACAAAATATATATATATATGGATTATGAATAATTGTTGAATTGCAGTATCACAGTGTAGACATCCAGATTAGCATTGTATAATACTGTATTTGCTGTGATTTAATGTCATGTCTTGTAGAGTAAAGGAAAAATTATTTAATTAGTAAGTGTTTTGTATTAGACTGTTTAAAATGATTACACAACAGCTCTTTGTGTAATGTACTTTGTGAATTTAATTTTAAAGGTATGAATTTATGTTTGATTTTAATTACTGTGATATTCAGGATTTAACTACTTGCAGGAGCTAATGTGGAAAAGGTTAAATTTTTATGAGGCTCCTGTCTGCCATTGCCCTAAGAGCCACAATTGCAACTTTTTCACTAGCTTCAAGTTTTCAAAGGCCAACCAACCTCAACCACTTATATTCTTAGATAGAACTTACAGACTTCCTAATAAGGAAGCAGTACAGTTACTGTTATGACAGGATATGTAATGGGCTTTGTTGGTCAATGTTAAAACTCGAAGGAGGTGAAGACACAGCACCTTTCCACTGCTGGGTCAGACTCAAAGTTGCAGACTTTCCATTACTGATTACAGCATGTTGCAAGTGGAATTGGACAGAACATATCCTGTACAGTTAGTCTATGAGTAAAAAGGGTCACATTTTGAAAGGCACTCTAGGTGCTCTTGTAAACATTTACCTGAAAAATTACTGATTCTGGGATGTTCTTCAAGATTTTCCATGTCAGAAGATACTTACTTCTTAACCATTCCCAGGCAATTTCTAGTTCATATGCTGTTGACTATATATGTGTTGATGCCAGTTTGTCCTGTAATCTAAAACCCCACACTGAAGTAAATAGCTTTAAAACAAAGGCTGCCTATGACATGAAATATCAGTGATGGAAAAAGGTAGAAAAAAAATGAATTGCATGTACAAATTATATTTTTAAGAAGAATCAAAAGTTTTATTATATTTGACTTGCATTCCCCCTTCCATGCTCACAGTAGCCTAGCTGCACCTCAGTACCACCTGAAATAGTTTCCATCATATTTTTTATGTGTATTATTTTTTGTAACATTAACCTTATGGTTTATAAGTCTTAGCTAGATAGAAAGGTAGAAAAAAATGAAAAGTCATAGGGTTTACCATATCTTAAGGAGAATCATAGGTTTTACTGTATTTTACTTGCATTCCCCCCACTACTCTCAGTGTAGTCGAGTTGCACTTCAGGACCACCTGAATTAATTTCCATCATATTTGTTATATGTATTATTCTTTGTAATATTAACCTTCTGATTTAAAAGGCAAATTAATAACACAGTTTGTTATTCAGTAGTGAGATTCACCATAGCTACAATTAATATGTTTTAATTTGTTTGTCTCATATTATTTTATATTTTATTACTGCATAATGTGGGTGTTAACATACAATCAACTTATCATAAAATTTCATCTTATGTTGAATAATTTGAATATTTAATATATTTTATACATATACAAATTTCAAATGTTACATATTTATATCATAGATAATACTGTCAATAGCTAGATGGTTACAGTCATTTTATTGAGATTTAGTATAGTTTCTAATGTCTTCTGCAGGCATGTTTTCCAACCAAAAGATGTGGCTTATAATAAAATGAAAAATCTTTTTAATTATGAGTATTGGTGTCTAAGCCTGACCCTCGTTTTTCAGGGATCTGGCCAGGAAGTGGTAACAAAAGTCGTTGAAGTAGTTCCAACAGATATGATCAACATACCTTCCTATGCTCGCTGGTTTGTTCGTCTGGCTGGCGTCTCCGGTGCATCTGCTGTTGCCCTTGGAGCTTATGGTGCTCATGGTGAGATATTCAAGTAGTTTCAAATTATTTTTATCTGTTGCTAGGGATATCTTTTATGACTAGTTCAGTTTTACATCATGAGCTGCCCATTATTGATTTTTTTTTTTTTTTTTTTTCCCTTTTCTCCCCCCCCTCTATTTTTTCCACTATAAAGATAATCATCAGACCATTTTTATTTTTCTAATTATGAGTGTGAGTGTTGTTCAGGAAAAGGAGATTGCAAGCTGATATCAAAATTAAATGTTTGATATTTCAGTTTTTTTATATTATTGACAGTATATTGATATTCAAATTTTATAAAATCTTATCATCATTTTGATGAGGAGTGCTTAGTTTTATAAGGGATCATTTTGATCACTTGTGAAATGGAAAGTAGAAAATTAAAGGAAGAAATAGTCAATAAGGCCATTATTATTTTATGTATTTTTTTGTTTTTATTTGTTTATTAATATTATTTTGTTATATTTTTTGGTTATCTCTTTTTTTTTTTTTTTTTTTTTATGTGTGTGAGTACATGATTGTGTGTGTGTGTATGTAAATTATAGTTTATGTGTGTGGTGGGTTGTATGTGTGTGTGTGTGTGTTTGTGTGTATATATATATAATATATATAATATATATATAATATATATATAATATATATATAATATATATATAATATATATATAATATATATATAATATATATATAATATATATATAATATATATATAATATATATATATATATATATATATATATATATATATATATATATATATATATATATATATATATATATATATATATATATATATAATATAATACACACACACCCACAAAAAAGAAAAAAAAAAAAAAAAATGTAAATCAGTTTTTCCTATATTTCCAGTGTTTTATCGTCGAGAATATCCAGAGGAGTTGAAACAGGTATATGAGACAGCTAACAGATACCACTTCTTGCACACACTGGCCCTGCTTGGAGTACCTCTCTGCAGAAGACCAAGAGTGGTAGGTATAGAACTATAGCAGATATACCAGCATTACTTCCTTAGTTTGATAAACCTCACTAAATAGTTAATCAACTAAATTATATGAAAGTATATAAGTAATATCTGTATTTTCTAATGATTTCTTAATCTTGAAATGCCAATGTATTTTGTGAGCATATCAACAAAGCATATTTTCAGATATTACATCACAAAATCTCTCAATATCTTCCAACAGGCTGGGAGTTTGATTGTGGCTGGCACAGCAATCTTCTGTGGAACGTGCTATTACTATGCTCTGACAGGATCGAAAAATGTTCGGCAGTATACCCCATATGGAGGAATGTTACTGATTATTGGATGGTTGGCCATGATTCTTTAGCTGTCAAATGATCAAAACGTTTGGAATGTATAGCAAGGGAGGGCAGGGATTGAGGTGTGATGACATATGCATTTTCTGACTTAGTTTTTTATTCATGTCTATTTTTGCTGACACAGCTTTTGCTTTATTTTCTTTTAGTATGAGAGTTTTTATGGTATGGTTTGTAAGTCCCTTTTCATCGTAATTCAGTTTAGAAGAAAATGTAATAAGCGACAGGTAAACAAGTTACTTCCGTTTGTATAACAAATTATGCCAGCAGAGATCAATATTGCTTTTTAATTTGGGTTAAATAAATGTTATACTTATTTGAAATCACTTTAAGTCAGTGGAAAGAGACATTCTTCAGTTAGTTATTTCTAATATCCAAAGTTATATTTCATATTAACTGTAGTATATATATAATAAAATATACAAAACCATATTTGATTTTGGTTACCCTCTGTCTGCTTATATATGAATGAGTGATGGAGGTGAGAGAGAGAGAGAGAGAGAGTGAGTGAGTGAGTGTGTGTGTGGGGGGGGGGTGCGTGTGTGCGTGCGGAATGTTTAAAGAAATATGCCAAGATTTGTTGATGAGCAGCTAAACAGTATTTTTTTTTCCGATTATTCTGAATGTAAAAAACAAGTCTGTCTGAAAACTGGAAAGAAAAGTCTTGTTCATTATGATAAAATGGGAATTTAATCTCACTCTCTACTTTTATCTGACACGTATGCAATTTATATTTTCTTTGTCTTTTGTTGGTGCAGGTCAAAACTTTGATACATAATCTGTTTTTAATAAGTATTTAATAGAAATACTTATTTCTAAACGTTTGTTTGTTCACCCAGAACTTTGAGTGGTTTAAAGAAAGAGGAATCATCTAGAAAAAAACACACGAAATCATATATTTGATACTCCTTATGACAATGATTCTTCAATAAATTCCTTAATTTAGCGGCAAATCCTAATATATGCTAAACAAGAAAGAAAATATATCCAATGGTATATGACTGACATCTTTTTTTTTCAAGATGAATGCAAGGTAATCTGAAATTATAAATCGAGGCCGCATCATTGGGATGAGGGAAAGTAATTTCTCTTCCAGTAAAGTAACCAGAGAGCCGTGTATCTCCCGCCCGATGGTATACAGATGAATTAGGTGGGAGGAGGAGGGCCACCCTGAACGACCGCTCTCGTTGCAGCTAAAATTCATATAAAGACCTACAGCGCCCGCTAATGAGCCGCAAGGCGAAGAAAATGACTACATGCAGATGGGATTCATCACAGAATGTTATCACCAGAGAGGCAGAAAAAACGACATCGCCTCTAGTTCGCCCAGCAGTGAGTGGAGAGCGCTCGAGAAGCTCATGAGAGGATGAGAGATAACAGGTGTAAATATCATTATCCTTTTTTGTTCATAGAATTTTGATAAAGATATATGTTTATAATAGTGTCCTACACGTCACATTTTATGTTTTGACTATCATTATTTATTTTTCAGATGTGACAATTGGGGTGAATTTTCATGCATGGTGTTGGTGACCTTGCCGAAAAAGAAGGGAGATTCAGTTTAGACAAATCAGCACGTTGCTATCCTTTGGCCCTTCCCAGAAACAACCATATTCGTGCATGGTAACTGCCCAGTACTTGTTATAAGTATGACTGCTCCAAGTATTGGTCTTTCTTTTCTACTAATATTACCGTTTTTCTCTTTACAAATAAAACGATAATAAAAATATCCTCGAAATGAATAAGCAACCTACCAGTTCTTCGATTTACTGAATTCCTCAGCAAAAAATATATTTACTTATATATATACATGCATGTATTTACATATTTATCCTTTTTTTTGTAATGATATTTGGCATGAGAAGGGGTTCAAAATGTGTATTAACTATAAAACCAATGATTCTAAATAAAATGTTCTAACAACTGATATAGCCCGGAGTTGCGTCTACGCT